GGTTTAGGATCGAAGTGCGGAGACAACTTATTGGTACGTTGCTGTTTGACTAAGACGGTGTCTCCTGGCTGGATTCCTTCATTCCTGTATTCCTTCATTCTTTCTTTCTGGTGAGCGTCTCTCTCCTTGATCTTCTGTCGAATATCTGGCATGTCAGGCAACACTCTGGCTGGTAGCTGTGGTAGTTGTACACGAAAACGTCTACCATACAGCGCTTCGGCTGGCGGAACTCTAGTAGTGGCATGTGGCGTCGCGCGGTATTGTCTTAGGAAACGGAAAAGTTCCTGTTTCCAATTCTTTCCTTCAAGATGCGCGATGCGTACGATTTTCAGCAGAGTGTCTATGAACCTTTCGACACCACCATTGGCTTGAGGCCACAATGGGGTGACTTTCCAATGTTTGAATCCGAGGTCAGCTGCGAAGCTTGCGAAATCTTGACCTTGGAACGGAGGTCCATTGTCGGACTTGACGACTTCAGGTATTCCCTGGCGTGAGAAAATACCATCGAGTTTTGGTATGACAGTCTTTGCAGCAGTGGACAAGACTATTTCAACTTCCGGGAAGCGACTATAGTCATCAGTTACAACAAGTAGCATCTCGCTTGATGGTAGTGGTCCATTGAAGTCCACAGACACTTCAGCCCAAGGTTCGGCTGGGAGCGGTGACATGATGAGAGGTTCTGGCGTGTTCGGCTTCCGAGTTACAGCTTGACATGGAATGCAGCGAGCAATCATGTCTTCCACCATTCGATCAATCCCTGGAAACCAAACTTTCTCTCGCAGTAGGGCTTTCGTACGTACGATTCCTTGGTGTCCGATATGAGCGAGTTGTACTGCCTTGTCGCACAAAGATTCGGGTACTACGATTCTGGTTCCACGGAGTATGATACCATCACTGCTTGCGAATTCGTACCGTATCTTCCTGTACGGTTGTAGGTCTGCATCATTCCACTTTCCATCTCATATAGCTTTCCTAACTTTGACGAGTACAGGATCGGCGGATGTGGCTTCAGCGATGGTTTCGATAGACATAGACTTTGGGACTGCGTTCTCGGCTACAACGTTGATGTACTCTTCATCTTCAGAAACTGTAGGCGGCTTTCCAACAGGATGGCGACTGATAAAATCAGCTGGGTTTTGTTCATCTCGGCCTGGCCGATACTTGAGCGTGTAGTCGTATGGCATAAGTCTGAGACGCCAACGTTCCAGTCGAGCAGATGCTTGCTTGTAACTGCTGAAGATTCCGAGTAATGGTTTGTGATCGGTGTAGATGACAAACTTTGCTCCGTATAAGTACAAGTGATAATGTTCCACTGCCCACACAACTGCTAGCATCTCACGTTCTGTCTGCGAGTATCTCGATTCTACGTCGGTAAACGCTCTACTGCTATAACTCACGACTCTGTTGTCCTGCGATAGGATTGCTCCGAGACCCTTAGGATTGGCGTCAACTGCGAGCTCGGTGTCCTTTCTTGGATCGAAATACGTAACTACTGATGCTCCTTTGAGGCCTTCTTTCAACCTAGTGAGAGCAGTCTCTTGGTCTTCACCCCATGTCCATTCGACGTTGTTGTGCGTTAGCTTTCTCAGAGGACCGGTGATTGATGCGTATCCTTCAATGAAACGTGACAAGTACTGGGTCATCCCCAATAGCGATCTGAGTTCAGTGGCATTCTGCGGCGGCGGCGCATTGGTAACTGCATCGAGTTTTGACGGGTCAGGGTGAATTCCCTTGCTACTGAAGATATGGCCGTAGAATTTTACCTTAGGAACGCGGAAATGGCATTTTGGCAAGTTGAGGCGGATCCCATTGTCTTCCAGTTTCCCGAGTGCTTCGTGAAGACATGCGTCATGTTCCTGGGTATCCTTCCCTCAAACGATTACATCATCTGAAATGTTCCTACAACCTGGCAGATCGTGAAGAATGCTTGCGACTACATTCTGAAATATCTCCGGAGCGGCGTTCACTCCAAAGAAAAGACGTTTGTAACGTCGGAGTCCAACATGAGTGCTGAACGTAGTGATGTATCTACTCTCGGCCGACAGTTCCAGTTGATGATATGCGTTGCTAAAGTCGAATGTGCTAAAAACGGTGCATACATTTAAGTCAGTGATGACATCATCTATGATAGGCATAATGTGTCTTTCGCGCTGAATCGCTTGATTCGCTGCTCGCATGTCTACATACACGCGAATGTTACCATTTTTCTTCGGAACAGGTACTATTGGACTAACCCAAGGGGTCGGCCCTTCAACGGTTTCGATAATGTCAAGTTCTTCCAAACGCTTGATTTCTTCTGCAACTTTCCCGCGTACATGAAACGGAATGCGGCGATGCTTTTGCTGTCGAGGCTGTACGGAGCGATCGATGTGTAGCTTGACTTGTTGATCCTTCACTTTACCTATGCCTGGACCGAACAATTTCGGATACTTCTTGACGATTTCCTCCTTCAAAACAGTGTCTCCGTCGATCGAGACTTGGTTGCAGGTTAGATTGGGGCCAGCCATTTGCATGATGCCCAACAGGTTTGCGGTCTTGAAGCTTAGGAGGTTGTGACCTTCACCTTGAAACACGAAAAAGTCTGCGGGGCAAGACTTAGTGCCATACTGAATGATCGCAGTGAAAGTTCCACGAATTGGCAACGGTTTCATGTCACCATAGGCATAGACAGCGGTTGACGGTGTGTCAAGTTTCACGGGACTTGACCACTGATCGCGAAACATGTTGTAGACTTGGCTATCTATAACATTGACTGACGCGCCAGTATCAACCATCATATCAAGAGTGAAAGTTCCACGATCACCTGGATTCAGATTCTGCGGCCTAATTTTGACAGTGCGCGTTAGCTGTTGGCGATCACTTGCGACGTATGCGACTTCCTTTCGAATCGAGAAGAAATATTCATCCTCAAAAGAATCAGCGAGTTGAACAGAATGAACAGTTTTGCAGGTTTGGTCCACGAGACGTTGATGAAGCACTTGATCGACATACGATAGCAAAATGTCCTACTTTCCCACATGCGGTGCAGTCTTTGTCAGTAGCTGGGCAGCGGGAATCCCCTTTCTGATGAGGTTGAGAGCGACCACAGAAGAAACAGGTAACGTTACGTTGTCGACCGTGACTTGGATGTGGACGCCCACTATCGTGATGATCCTGAGGAGTTTGGCTTCGATTGCGGCCTCGCTGCGATGAATGTCGATCTCGTGATGACAATCGGTGTTTACGCTGGTTTCCATGGCGTCTCAGCATGATGACTATGGTCTGCAACGTGATGGACAGTAGCTTGACTCTGTCTGGACTCTACCTTCGCAGTTTGGGCGTCGGCGATTTCCAACCCTCTGGCTGTCTTGATCATGTCTGTCTGAGATTGCTGTTTATTAATTTGTAAATTCTAGCCACCAGTCGGTGGCGCCATCTATCTGTTTTTGTGTGTGTAAAACTTATAATAAATCAGTCGCCATTTGTATCGTTGAGAGCGTGTTGTGTATTTCTGTCCTCTTGCCGAATTGTGTTAAATGTACCACTATCGTGGTGTCTGCCTTGTTTAGAGTCGCAGACATTAATGGTGCCGAAACTGTGTTAAATGTACCACTATCGTGGTGTCTGCCTTGTTTAGAGTCGCAGACACTAACCAACGAACAAACAAACGAACGAACG